ATTCTAAATGTTCAGAGGGGCTCTGAGCCAGCTTGGTCAGGGAGCAGTCAGAGCTTTCCTAGAGATGAACCTTGAGCCAAATCTTAAAGGAAACAGGTTAGGCAAAATAGGTGGGAAAGTCTACAGGTACCAAGGACTGTGCATAAAAGCATAGAGAAGATCAAGCACACCCCTCCAGGCTGCAGTGAAGGGTGAGTGGGAAGTGAAGAGCCTGGGAAGAGATTATGAGCAGCTTGGTAAATCACATTAAGAAATATGGACATTTTCCCCACAGTGACATGAGAACAGAACTTGGTGTATTTTGTTTGCTTTGGCACCTCAGAATCTAGTACATTGTCTGGCACAAGGCAAGTGCACATTATATTATTTTTGGAATGAATGAATGATACATAGTAACTCAGAGATGCCTTCTGGTTTCCAGTCTGGGTGCCCCAGGTGGTGGGGATAATGTCATTTGCTGAGGAAAAGAATTCAGAAGATTTCAAAAGTCACCTGTCTCAGTGACATCCTTAGAGATTCCAGAGTCTGATTCCGTTTTTTTTTTTTTTTTTAATGTCACAGGCAATTAAGTATTAATCCCCAGGTGAGACTTTTTACCCTAAAGAATTGGCACATGTGATGTGTATTTCTTGGGGGGAGGATCTACAGACTCTATCAGGTTCTCAAAAGAGTTTGTGACCCCAGAAAGGTTAGGCATGGATAGAGAAGGAAGTAGAGAAGCAACAGCTGTAGAAGAGGCAAGAAAGGGAGGGGACCCAGAACAAAGAGGATTAGCTTTGAAGGAAGACACCTCTTTTTGTGTATCAAGAAATGGATTCAGGTTATATATGTATGAGTGTGAGTGTGTATGTGTGAGTCTTTCTCCTCTGTGGTCCCAAAGCATCTATCCATAACATCACTATCACCTTCATGTCACTGTGCTGCACTTGTTCACACCTGTTGGTTTCACTGGAGGGTGACGCCAGGCTTTTTGGCTCTCTGTCCGCAATGCCCACCACCGGGTCTGGCATAGAACTCCTTGTGGGATGAACTAAAGACTGATGATAGCTCATGGCAATTTAAGAAAATGAAGCTTCAAAGTTTCATCTATTCTTAGCAAGACAAGCCAAGGAAGAAGGGAGGTGACCCACAGGAATAAGAAAACCTAAGCCAACTCTAATGAAGGGTAGGCACACCTACTATATTAGAAACTATAAAGAAAAAGGTTATCATTATTTTTGTAGACTAGAATTGAATTCAAGCTGGAGGGACAGCTGCAATTGGTAGGAAAGGAAGCTGATCTGTCTAATAATCCACTAGGCTCACATGATTTGTGCAGGACTGGGAGGGGACAGGTGTTGAACCAGGGTGGGGCTTTGGGTTTGTGGAAATTCAGATCCAGAGATGAAATACAAGTCAACATGTAAAAAGTCGTTTTGTTGAATGAGGAACGTAACAGTATGTTGTATAAAACCAGGTTTGCTCATATAAAAGAAATATTTGCTATATTCGATTTAAAAAATAAAACAGTAAGTTTCATCTTAGAATCTTAACATCTAATAGTTAAAAGATACCTTTAATGTCCAGTCAATGGAGAGTTAGCATCCTGTTTTGCTGAAACCATATATAATGCATTCTCATATATATCCTTATACTGGTGCCACCCTCCCACCCCCACCTCCACTTGTTTGATTATACACGCAGTGGCTTATAACCTTGGCTGCACATTGCTATCACCTGCAGTTTTGTTTTTTTTTTAAATGCTGGAAGTTTGGGAATGGAAATTTTAAAAAGGCCCTAGATGGGTCTAATATGAGGCGAAGATTCAAAGCATTGCTTTAAGGCAAGGTTGGGTGTGATTCCCAAACTACCTTTGCATCAGAAACACCTGGACAGCTTGTTTGAACTACCTATTCGTGGAAATCTTTAACTAGGAAACCACAATCATCAATGACTGAACATTCAATTATGAGAATGAATATGATAGTGAAACTAGAAGAGTTTAGCATCTTAATGGTCATCTTCACAGCTAGACCAGTTAGCGACATCATGCCAAATGGAGAAGACTGTCAGGGATTTCATTTTACTTGGATCCATAGTTAACACCCATGGAAGCATCAGCCAAGAAATCAAATATTGTATTGCACTGAGCAAATCTGCTGCAAAGACCTCTTCAAAGTGTTAAAGAGCAAAGATGTGACTTTGAAGACTAAGGTATGCCTAACCCAAGCTGTGGAATTTTCAATCACCTCATATGCATGTGAAAGCTGGACAATGAATAACGAAGACCACAGAATTGATGCCTTTGAATTATGGTGTTGGTGAAGAATACTGAAGATACCATGGACTGCCAGAATAAACAAACCTGTCCTGGATGAAAAGCAGCCGGAATCCTCCTTAGAAGCGACAATGGCCAGACTTCATCTCATCCAATTTGATCATGTTGTGAGAAGGGACCAGTCCCTAGAGAAGGGTATCATGCTTGGTAAAATAGAAGGTCGGTGAAAAAGGGGAAGACCCTCAATGAGACGGACTGATACAATGGCTTCAACAATGAGCTCATGCACACCAAGGACTGTGAGGATGGTGCAGGACCAGGCAGTGTTTTGTTGTTGTACATAGGGTTGCTGAGTTGGACTGACTCAGCAGTACCTAACAACAAATGGTCACAAATTCCAGCTCCTATCTTCCAGTATAGTGTTGGCTTCTTGATGGGTCAACATCACAGAAATATTTAAAAGATTCAGACATCTCTCCCTCTGGTCTAAGCTTCCTTATCATGCAAGGAGAAAACCTAACTTGTTCCTAATCTTAGCACAGACACATGTTGTTACCTTTGGGTTCCTCTACTTTCAGACATAGGGGAACAGGAAGATAGTCACCAACTGTCATGGGCAGTGAGGGCATGGGTACTTTTGATTCCCAGTTTTAAATCCTTTTGATTTAGAGTGAAACTGGGAAAAGAAGTTGTGTATGTTTTGATAAAGACTATGGTTGGGAGGGGGAAAAGATAAGTTAACAAGCATTTATTTTCATGTAAGCTCTATGTGAAAGGGCTCTGAAAACTGGAAAATACCATGTTGACTGCTATTTAGCATTGGGAAAATGAGACAATAATTGTATGGGACACTTGTGCATGAGAACTGCCCCAGATTCCTCATCACCAGAGATGACACATATAATATAAATGCTCCTTCATGCTGAGGCATTAGAATGGAGGGGAGAGAGACCTAGAAATCAGGAGACTCAAAAGTCCAATCTGCTTTCTCATCACACTGCTTAAGGCATAGCCCAAGATCAGTCACTTCTGTTTATTCACCTGAAAATGACAACTATAGGCCCCTTTTTGTGGCTCCCCCATAGGTCTGGCTGGGGATGACAAGGGGTTACAGCTAGAGACCACCAGCATGGCATAACAGAAAACTTGGATTTAGGTCCTTAATTTGAATATGGGAGCTCTGGTAGCATAGTGGCTAAGACACTTGCCTGCTAACCAGACGGCTGGCGGTTCAAACCCACCTGCCACTCCTCGGAAGGAAGGTTGGGCAATCCTACTTCCGTAGTGATACTGCCTCGGAAACCCAAGGAGGGGTCGCTATGAGTCGGGGCTGACTCGATGGCACATAACAACAACAACAACAATTTGAATATAGACTCTACCACTTTCTAGTGATATGACCTTCAGTTAAATGACCACTCTCAGGTAAATGGGGGTACACACTTCATCCAGTGTTATAAGGACTATCGACAGTGATCGACATGAAAGCATGAAATGCTTAAGTACCGTTATTCTATACATAAAGGTACACAACAAAGAATAAAGTTCTATATAAATACAAGGCTATATTATTACATAACACTACTTATTGCATAGTTTTATAAATTACTTTTTCAGGAATATAGATTTATGTCAAGACTTTACTCAAATGAGTAAAGACTTATCTTACCTTAGCCAATTTCTTCACATCTGTAAAAGTTCCCATATTCCAACATCTCTGAACTTCTAAAAAAAATACATTTAAGACCTTAGGAACCCCACCCTTCCTCCTCCCTCTCTGGTCCTCTGAGAATTAGAAGAGCTCCACCATTTCTTTTACTCGCCATCCAGAATATGAGACTGACACCCAAGCTGTGCCCTGGCTGGGCCTCAGCAGAATGAGAGCAAAGACAACTCTGCCATGCCACTAGGCAAGGTTTATTCTTTGATCTGGGAAGGGGGGGGGGGCGACTGTCAGTAGCATCTCATCCAAATGGAATGTGATGGTACTTTGGGCTTGTTTGGAGAGACTTGTTGACTACAGCAAATAAATACAGCCTAGCAGCCTTGGTGGTCAGTATGTGGTGTCCCCATCAGTCCTTGAATGCTTGGCCATGCAGACTGGGAAGTGGACAAAACAGACTGGTCAGAAGTCTCCAGAGCTTTACCTCACCAAGGTTTAGGAGGCATTGGCAAGAGGGAGAAGGCTGTTCCCTACTTTTGTCCATTTTGCCAATAGACAGTTAATAGTATTTTTGTATTTTTAAAATTACCTAGGGTATGGAAAGCTTATAAATGTCCTAAGTGGGTGGGTGTTGAATTGCCACTCTAAGTGGTCTCCTTAAGTAGTCACTGCTTAACTCAAAATACTAAAATATAAGGTTCAGAGCTCCAGAATTCAACCAGGGAGACCTAACCAGTAACCTACCTGTTTGCTTAAGATATTGAAGTTCTTAAAAACAAAATTAAGCAAAAGTGGCCTTCCCCCAAACAAGAATCTTTACCCTAAGAAAGCCAGGACACAATCCATTTTAGGGTACAGTGAACAAAACTAAATCCTTGCCTTTAAGTTCTTAGTTTTCCTTTTCTTTAAATTAGCCTCTAAAATATTTATCTTGCGTTTTGTAACGTATTCCTGAAAACAACCTTTAAGGACACAGAAGGCCTTGTTTTTTGCAAAAGAGGAAGAAAACAGCAAAGATGTGTCAAATCTGCAGGGTAGTAGGTAATGATCAATGTCTGGAGGACTCTCTCTTCATTGGTGTTACTCGACAAGATGGGTTCTGTGATGTCGCATGAGGTGTGAGTTAGAGATAAAAGCTGCACCGCACTTCGCACATTCATAGGGCTTCTCCCCAGTGTGGGTTCTCTGGTGTACGGTAAGGCTTGACCTCTGCCGGAAGGCCTTACCACACTCATTACATGTGTAAGGTTTTTCCCCATTATGGATTCTTTGATGAATAAGGAGGTATGAGCTACATGTAAAGGCCTTTCCACACTCATTACACACATAAGGAAGGTCTCCACTGTGAATCCTCTGGTGGACAATAAGGCAAGAGAGCTGACTGAAGGCTTTCCCACATTCACTGCAGTCATAAGGTTTCTCTGCAGTGTGAATTCTCTGGTGCACAATTAAGTGTGAAAAACAACTAAAGGCTTTCCCACACTCTTTACATTCATATGGCTTCTCACCAGTATGGCTTCGCTGATGCACAATAAGATTTGCACTCTGGGTGAAGGCTTTGCCACAATCATTACAGGCAAAGGGCTTCTCCCCAGTGTGGATCCTCTGGTGGACAATGAGGTTTGAGCTTCGAGTAAATGTTTTCCCACACTCATTACATTCATAGCATTTTTCAGTAATGTGGACTTTCTGATGCCGAGCAAGCTGTGAGCTATAACTGAAGGCTTTCTCACACTCACTGCACTTAAAGATTTTTTCTAAGGAGTGAATTTTTTGATGCACAGTCAGATTTGAACTCTGAGTGAAGGCTTTCCCGCATTTTGAACAAACATAAGGTTTCTGTCCAGTGTGGATTCTCTGATGCACAACGAGGTTTGCACTCTGAATGAAGGCCTTCCCACACTCATGACATTCAAAGGGTTTCTCTCCAGTGTGGATTCGCTGATGCACAACAAGGTTTGCACTCTGACTAAAGCCCTTCCCACACACACTACATGTAAAAGGTTTCTGCCCAGGTTGGATTTTCTGATTTTTAATAGGGCTAGAACTAAGACTATAGCCTTCCCCAGAATTCTTATATTTCTGGTCTACCTCTTCTTTGAGGCTTTCAGGTAAATGATAGTCCTTTACTGTTACTTGTCTGAAATCTTTCTTTTCCCTCTTGATTCTTTGCCTCTTTAACATGTTCCCCTTTTTACAGGCTTCTCCTAACTCAGGTCCTTCAGGGTCAGTTTTCTGGATTCTTCCTAATATTAGGAAGGGCTTTTCTGCTTCATCACACATCTCAGTTTTTAAAACCAATGACTGTGGGCTTTTGATTCCAGCATCTGAAATAAGAAACAAAAAATACAAATGTCAAGTTTTTCTGGTCTAGAAAAACACTGTAATCAAGACATAAAGATCAGGAAGTTTGTGACTTCAGTATCTCTGAAAAATGACTTCATCAAAGAAAGGAATCTCCTCTCACGTTCTCTCTACTCTGTAGGTTCTTAACTGATTTGTGGTATTTCCAGCACCTTCCACTTACTGCCATGAGACATAAACCCACTGTTCTTAAGCCAGGGGAACCCACTCTTCAGATATCTCTCCTCCCACATGACTGATCTTATAATTAAGACTACCTATGAAGGACACCAGGAGCCCTGGTGGTACAGTGGTTAAGTGCTCATTTGAACCCATCAGCTGCTTCCTGGGTGAAAGATGTGGCAGTCTGTTCCCATAAGAGTACAGCCTTAGAAACCCTATGGGGCAGTTCTACTCTTTCCTATAAGGTAATTATGAGTCAGAATTGACTTAACAGCAATGGGTTTGTTTTTCTGTTTTTTTATTTGTTTGTTTGGTTTTGCTTATGAAGGACATCAGTCTTTCCCAGCCTTGCCTTCTTACCTCAGTCATATAGTGTGGATTTGGTTATAATCCACAAGTTAATTAGAGTTATTCCTTACCTGGATGACAAGAGGGCCATGGTGACGAAAAGTATCTGCAACACTGAGAGACTATGCAGAACAGACATTAAGAACATGAATTATAGACCCAGACTGCCTGGGTTTGAATCCCTGCTCTTCCAGTTCACAGGTGTGTAACTTTGGGCCAATTAAGTTCTCTGTGGCTCAGTTTCCTTATCTCTAAAATAGGGACAGTAACAGTATCTTAGTTCTCTAGTGCCACTATAACAGAAATACCACCACAAGTAGATGGCTTTAATAAACAGGAATTTATTCTCTTACAATTTAGGAGGCTAGAAGTCCAAATTCAGAGTGCCACATCTAGGGGCAGGATGAAGTCCCTCGACCTTGGGCTTGAGCTCTGCTTCTTGTTCCAGGCCCAATGGAGTAAGCTAGAGGCTTCTGACTCATGCAGCTGCTGGCTGCTAAGGTTGACGAACCCAAGATTGGTAGGTAAAATGGCACAATCCCAAGGTCAGCAGGCAACATGGAAGACCACTGGTTCAAGTCAAGGAATGATCCTAAGAATGGCAGGTCATTGGTTCAAGTCCAGGAATTGGAGATGAAGACTCAGCCAAATGCAGTATCCAAAAGGTGCCAAAAGTTAGCGACCTTCCTCAAAGCTTCTCCATATATACTGGAAGTAGGCCATAACCCTAAGGCAACAAATTAGCTGCTCACAGCAGATTCCACCATAGAGGTGATTACACCACATCCAATCTCATCATGGGGAATTATCCAGCTTCCAATCCACTCAAAACCATGGCCCAGCCAAGTTAACATACAACTTTAACTTCCACAAACAGTATCTACTTTATAAGATAATGAGCAGATTAACTGAGTCAATCTATATAAATTCCTCAGAACAGTGCCTGGAACATAGTAAGTGCTCTGTGTATGTCTGCAGTGATTTTCAGCCTGACTGACAGTGCTGTGGATCAAAGTGCTAGAGGTTCAGGAGGAAAGATGAACTCTTAGGAGCAGGAGTTACTATGGTGATAGAGGGCTACACCAGAAGGAATTGAAAAAAGAAGCTTAATGTAATAAACAGCCAGCCTTATGTCAAGAAAACCAAACCAAAAAAACCCATTGCCAATGAGTCTCTTCTGACTCATAATAACCCTATAGGATAAAGTAGCACTGCCCCATAGGGTTTCCAAGGCTGTAAATCTTTTTGGAAGCAGACTACCACAACTTTCTCCCATAGAGCAGCTGGAGTCAAGAAAAGTTGACCTTTCTGTAGTTTGAGATGTGGCATAGCCTTCTTCATGAGGACACCAAAACATCGAGTTTTGAAACCTTTTCTGGCTATTCTATGTTACCTTAGAACTCTAATGGAGTTGTGTTGTATATGACATTATAGTTCTTTATGTTTGTCTCTTCACCATCCTCCCTGCCACCATCAACCCTGGAATGTGCACCCATGCAGCCTAGTGTTGGCAAAGTGAAAGCTTAATATGCGTTTATGAATGAAACCAAGATCAAGAAAACTACTCGGATAAAAAGGCAATAAAATGATGACTAGCAGGAGTGGGAGGCAGGCCCTCAGAGAAGGGAGGAATTGCCACTGGTGGAGTCACCTTGAAAGTGAGCAGAGGAAAACATTCTGAGGCAACTCTCCATTCACTGACAAGAGTAGATGGGACAGGCCTGTTGGGGTGGTACAAAGCAATGGGGAAAGGAGGCAGGAAAACAGCCCAGTTAAGACCCTCATTCACTCACTCACTCACTCACTGCAGTTGAGTCAAATCTGACTCATAGCAGCCCCTCCTTTGGTTTCCAAGGTGGAATCACTACAGAAGTAGACCGTCCAACCTTCCTTCTGAGGAGTGGCTGGTGGGTTTGAACCACCAGCATTTGGGTTAGCAGTCAAATGCCTTAGGCACTATACTACCAGAGCACCTAGGTTAAGACCATAGGAATCTGAAATTTCATTATAGTGATTCAGCCAAGATGGACAATGATGGAGAAAGGAAATGCCTGAGCACTGAATACACTGGAGTCTACACTGTAACAGCAAAAAATCATCTTTTGTTTGGTTATCTCTATTCTTATTTTTCTGATGTGTTTCTCTCTTTTTTAATCTACTTTGTTTTTCTCCCTGTAGTTAAATTGTTCTTATATCTTTTCCCCTATCTTACTTTCCCCCCACTATGTCTTTCTCCTGCTTCCTCTGTTTTAATTTTTTCTCTTGTATAAAATATTCTTTTTTTCTCCTACATACTTTCCAGTCTCTTTTATTTTGCACACTGCTTTTCTTTCATGTTCACAACTCTTCTTCATCCCTACACTGTACCTGATTTTACACTCTTCTAACATAGTCTTCCTTGCTTCTTTTCACCACCTTCTATCCTTTAGCTCTCCATCACTGACACTGCGGCCTCCCATTCTCCACCAAGCCTCTCTCCATCAGAAACAGAGCCCATGAATACTTTAGTTCACACATTCCCCTGATCTTCACTCCTACCCTCCCTACTGTGAGATTTAGAATACAGGTAGTTCCCGACTTAGGACATATTTGATTTACAATGAAATGCACTTAACACTGGTCCTTTTTTTTCTGGGGTGGTGGTGTGTGACTTATCATTAGTAAATGCACAACATTCAGTGTTGCAGCATGTAATTTGGTGATGTTCTCGTTTCTAGCTGTTCACTTGAAAATGTTCAATTTTATGATATAATGTTCAGAACACTGCTGTTTTGAAATGAAAACTGGAAAAAAAAGAGGTTTTTGACTTATGTCAGAACCAAACCCTGTTATAAGTGGGGGACTACCCATATTAAAAAAACAGGAAAGACGAGGACTATTGAACAGATTGAAGCTACTAACAGAAACAATTCCTTGTATTTGTATAATGCTTTATGTAAAAATTATGACAGAACAGGCTACAACTGTAACCTACAAGATCTTAATGTAAGTGGTTATTTAACAGTTTCTTTCATCACAAAAATGAAGTAAGCCCTACGGTCTTAGTAAATGCCCAGGGTCTAAGGCAAGAAAATTGAAGCCCATCCTATGTGTGCTCAAGTTTAAATCTCCTTGGGCCAAAGATAAACAATCACCCAAGTCTTGTAACCTTGTTCAAGATTTTCTTTTTTAAAAAATCTGTTAATATTATTGTAATCCTAGGAAAGTATAGAAATAATGAAGAAATAAACTAAAAATTCATTTTGTGAGCAACCAGATCACAGATGTAGTAATTCTTTTAATATATTTTGTTGAAATATAATTTATGTACAGTGAAATACACAAAAGTGGCATGGGTCAATGCATTTTTTTTTTTTGGCAGTGTTTCCTCCCACCCCCTGGTAACAAAAAACATTTCCTTCCATATATAAACCTTTCTGTGACTTTTTACAATAATGAACTAATACTATATTTGTCTTTCTGTGATTAACTTATTTCACTCAGCATAACATCCTCCAAGTTCATCCACGTTATGCAGCGTTTTGCAGATTCTACATTATTCTTTAATGTTGTATAGTATTCCATTGTGTGTATGTACCATTCTTCTGTTCATGGGCACCTAGGTTGTTTCCATCTTTTTGCTATTGTGAATAGTGCTGCGATGAACATGGGTGTGCATCTATCTGTTCATGTCCTGGCTCTCACTCCTGTAGAATATATAGCTAGTAATGGGATTGCTGGGTCAAATGGTATCTAATTCCAGCTTTTTAAGGAATCACCATACTGCCTTCCACAGTGGTTGTATCATTTTACAGTCCCACCAGTAGTGTATGAGAGTCCCAATCTCTCCACACCTGGCCAGTATTTGTTATTTTCTGTCTTGTTGAACTTTGCCATTAGTGGTGGGGTGAGATGATATTTCGTTGCAGTTTTGATTTGCATCTCTCTGATGGCTAATGATCGTGAGCATTTCTTCATATATTTCCTGGCCGCCTGAATATCCTCTTCAGTGAAGTGTCTGTTCATGTCTTCTGCCTATTTTAAATTGGACTGTTAGTCTTTTTGTTGTTGAGGTTAGAGTTTTCTATAAATTTTAGAGATAAGTCCCTTGTCAGATATGTTATTGCCAAATATTTTTTCCCAATCTGTAGGTTCGCTCTTTGCTCTTTTGGCAGTGTAATTATTGACAAGCATGAATTTGTTGCTGTCATTTTGTTATATGCTTTTTCGTGGTGTTGCTGATTTCTTAGTTCCATATAATTTTCTGTGCTGAGCTCATTTAGTTTATGAATTGTATTATCACTTCCTTCATTGCTATTGTTTTAGTATCAGCTAAATATTTGTGCTGGTCCTCTTTTTTTATTTTGATGTGAAAGTTTATCATTTTTCTGAGGTTACCCTGTGATTTATAATTTTCTTCCCAAGTTTAGAACACTCTGTTCTACCTTGCAGTTGTCTTGACTTCTGTACCATT